TCCCTGTGTCAGTATTGCCTCACTCACTGTTGTGAAACACCTTTGGGATGGGTCAGTACAAAGGGCCATCTCTGCTGCAAACCTCCAAAGAATACAAAATGTTCCCTTTCAAACTATTGTGCAATAAGCTCCAGAAAAGATTTTCAAATTTTAATTGCATTAATGAGTATTTGAAAAATATATGCTTACATAAAGATGTATTTCAGTTTCATTCTGTTTTAACAGATTTTTGAGTTGAAAAAAATGGAAATTTCTCAAGCTTAGTATTTATTTAGAGTTCAAGTTTTCGTTAGTCATTAATGCCATCTAGATACTGGGATTCTCCAGGAATTATACTTTACTCAATAAAATAATTATTCTTAATATTACTTCTTGTACTATACTCATTTGAACTTCATATGACAGACAGACACACTGATCTGCCCTTGTTCTCAAGGGTTTAACAGTGTGGGCTGTTCGCCCCAACATAGATGGCTGGCCAGTGCTTCTGTAAGGAAAAAAAAAAAAAAAACAAACAAAAGAGAGAGAGAGAAAGAACTTGGTTTCTTTGCTTTTTAAATAAGCTGAATCACTGACTTACAGAAATTGATATCTCTATTTTGAAACACAGAAGAAAACTGAATACTGAGTTTCTGCTCTTTTCAGAGCATATGAAACATCATGGCATCCTAGATGTTTGTTTAATAGATACCTCTTATACTGGCAGTCCAAGAGCTGTTGCTGATTTATGAACTGATGAACACTTCCCTCAAACAGTTTTTAAATCAAATCCCTCAATCTGTTTTTAAATCTGCTTTTAAATCCTCTTAACTTCTGTGACTGTTGAGAGCAATCTGAATATTGCAGAAGATTGTCAGGACCTGACAAAAGGACTCAAAAAATTTCTCTGTCAATTGCTTGAATATAACTCATGCACAAAGCTGACAGGATGGTTCTGACAGATTTTTTAAAAAATATTTCTAAATTGCATTTGTAGCTATGAATATATTTCTAATTATATAGTAATATTAATCCTTCTTTACAAAACACAATTGAGTTCAGATATATAGCTCAGAATTTGAAAGAAATATTCATTATTTCCCTTCAAAGTGGGGTGATGGGGTCTTTTTTTTTCTTTTTTTAAAAAAACATGAAGACAGATGTCTGAGAAAGAATCAGCACTCTTCCACATATATATATTTTTTTTTGCTGCTGCAAAAGTGTTATTAGTCAAGTCAGATGAGACGGGTTGAATTCTGTCTTTTTAAAGAAAAAAGTGTTGGAAGGAAATTCACAAGTAGACACATTCTCAGGAATATTTACAAGTCCCAGAGTGATGACAACAGTATTTGTGCTCCATTTCCTAAATACTACACATTTAAATATCACTTATAAAGTTTAGCACAGTAGTTCTTATGATTTAGTCTGTCTTCATTCAATCTCATAATAAATTTTATATCTGTCTGTTCTCAGGGAGATGAATCAGAAGATAATTAGAAAGAATCAGTCAAGTACTTTATCTCCTAGAAAATAAATTCAACAAATTCAGGGAACTTGGATTCCAGCTCTACCAGCTGACAGCACAACCCTGCTTCCCTTGTTTCTCCACTAAAGCTATGATTTGTCTGCTATGGTTACAGCAGTACCTGACACAATAATAATCTAGGTTCATAAAAAAAAAATCTAATAATAAAACAGAATAACAACAACTATGCCCAAAACTGTGTTTATATTATTAGTTCCATTTTTATAAACTGTCCTCATCTGATATTTGTTGCCTTCAGAAAATTCTGTTCTGGGTCTTCTCTTGTTGCTGAGGATAAGTACCTGAGGGGTGAATGTAGGGAGGATGGGGCCAGGCTCTTCTCCGTGGTGCCCAGTGACAGGACAAGGGGTAATGGGCGTAAGTTGAAACACAGGAAGTTCCACCTCCATATGAGGAAGAACTTCTTTCCTGTGAGGGTGACAGAGCCCTGGAACAGGCTGCCCAGAGGGGTTGTGGAGTCTCCTTCTCTGGAGACCTTCCAAACCCACCTGGATGCCACCCTGTGCCACATGCTCTAGGTGTCCCTGCTTGTGCAGGGGGGTTGGACTAGATGACCTCTAGAGGTCCCTTCCAACTTTAACCATTCTGTGATCTTGAAGATATGGGAAATGAATCCAATTCTAAGGTTCACACTGTGCAAAAAATACACAGCGGAGATGAACTGGGGGCAGGGGCCTAGAATAGGTCGGTGCTATCTTGACAACCCTTGCCAGCAGAGCAATGCAAGAGGCGCTGCGATGCACCTTGCAGCACACAAAATGCGACTCCTCTGGAAACAGCGGTTGCCGCTTTGCAGCTTTCTGTCACAAGGCAGAATTTCTTTCAGGGCACCCAGCTATTGAGCTGGTAAGATCACAACAGACCGACTGAACACAATAGTAAGTACGTAAAAAACCTGCTTGACGTTTCAAGGCCTAGGAACAATAGCCACACCTCACAGTAAAGCCCAAATAAATTTTACTTGTATCAAAACCACAGAGGCATAACCAACTTGGATGCCCACAGTGCCAGTCCAGTAACTTTTCAGAAGAACTTACCTTACGTTCTCTTCATGAAGTTAAAGCTTTTTGCCCTTGCCAAGTGGCCTGCTGCCTATTTACTTTGCATTGCCATCTGACTCCGTCTTCCCTCTAAGCCTACTTTCAAGTGGCAGTTGGATCCCCCCAAAGTCCTCTCGTCTCCAAGCTCAGCTCCCTCAGCTTTCCCCAATGTATCATGTACTCTAAAGCCCCGAGCAGGTTACCAGCTTTCTGCCAATGTTACTATAGTTTGTCAGTGTTTCTACCTTACTCTTCGTGATAAAACTGGTCACAGTGCTCCATAAATGGCCTCATAGGTGTCAGGCAGATCACTGTCCACAACCTGTGGATGAAGGCTAAGACCACCCAGCCTGCGCTCAGTCTTCATCACTGCAAGTGCTCATGGACAATTTATTTTCAATTATTCTAAGGACTTGCACTTTGAGATACACAAGTGGCTTAATCTAGTTTATTTTGCTGAAGGTTGTTAATTTTCCCCACAAATCATGTTGCTGATAGAGGTGTAAACAAGGTGATCCCGAACAAGATGACTATATTTATGGAACAACTTCATGAACAGTGGTATGACAAAAATAATTTAAATGCCAGTGCAATGCAGCAAGATTCAGTATTTCCACCTGGCTCTAGCCTTAAGTAGTACAATACAAATATCTCAATGTATAACTGTACAGATATGTACATAAATCTGCCTTTTGGCATCTGCACATCACTGTACCCACACCAGATATATGGTCAGAGTGCCTTGCTTTGTAAACTGTGATCATGGGTAAGAAATCCTGATGTGTTCTAAGGAGACACACTATCTTAAGAAAGTTGTTTTCCCTAAAAAATCCCTTAAAATCAAGTGTTGTTATTTATCTATATGTAACTACTCCTACTCCTATTTGCACACAAGTAGTATGATTGCTCACCTCTCCGAAAGACACCACGGTGCACTGTAAAGCAATCTTGACTGCATACCAGTGATACTGTCATAATAGATACTAATAAGAATTCTGTCTATCTGTCTATAGATTACAGATTCTGTCTATCTGCCTAACCATTTTCAAGGAATTCAATGACCTGAGAGCAATGGTGTACCCTTGGCTGTGTTAGGTTAAAACATTAGTGCTTTTATGAAGAAGCCACATCTTGAAGCCTGTTGACCAAAAACAGGATTGTAGAGGACCCTTGAAACTACAACAGATGAGAGCTGAGACCTGGAAAATCCAGAGACTCCAAGGTCTAAACACAAATCACTGAGGCCAATCACAGGTCAGTAGAGGAATGGGCAAAACTGCTTTTAGGGATTAAGAAAATAAAGAGAACACAGAGCAGAATGCAGTAAATGTAAAACACACCATCTATAGTAAAACTTAGAGACGATGCAGAATTATTAACAGAAGGAAAAAAAAGCCAGCAAGTAGAGAGTCCTAACAGGAGATCAAGGAAGTTTGTGTTAGCAAAGGTAGAAGAATAATCTTAAATGAACCTGAGAGCAACAAGGACAAAATCATCACCATCACCACTCTGTTTCTCACAGTGAGGAGGACTGGACACTGATCACTTGCCACTGCAGCCCTCTCTTCCCCCTTGCTGGGCTGTGGGTACCCCAGGACAGATGGGCAAGCAGGACACAAGGAAAAGGGACAGAGCTTGTGCATATGACTTGATTACTTTATCTGAAGGAATTAGCACTCATTGCATTCCTTGAATTATAGGAGTTAACACTGTAACTCAAATTAAAGTAACTTTTTGATTACATTTTTTCTAATACTTTAATTAGATGAAATAATAAATTTGCAGCTTTCTCTCACTCAGATTAAATCACAAGGAAGGGTGATTTGGTACACAAACTTGTGGCTTGGTGAATGCATCTCCCAGAAACAGCAAACTTGAGCTAAGTTTAGCAGGAGAGAGAACAAGGAATAAGTTGTTAAAAGGTGACCTTTTTCAAGGACTTTGTGATCTCACAAGCTGAATAACACTGGTGCCAATCCAAGAACTGGAGCACTGAATGATTTCACTATTTATGTGCAATAGGCCAGTTTGGCAGTTTGGGTCAAAAACAGTAAAAAGTGGATTTGCCGGGTCCAAAAGGAAGATCTGTGTATTAGTCGCTGCTCAGAAGGGATCAAGGTTGCTGGGACAGCATAAATGCTTGTCACCACACTCGGTGCCACAAGATGGCAATCGCGCCTTTCCTAGAGCCCGTGCCTTGCTGGAAGATTCCGGAAGTTCCGTGGCATCAAAGAGCAGGAAAGCCACATCGCAAAACCAAGAATATGAAAAAGGCATCTCAGGAAATGACAGTCATCAGAACATGGCACAATTTATTTCTTACACTATTTGATCAAGCTATTTTTGTAGCCGAGAAGCTCAATGTGCCTGGGGCTGTAAAGCTAGATTTATCAGCCTAATCCAGTGCTGGCAGAATTCCCATGGCACTGAGAGCAGCGCGGGCCTCTGGATGGGCTCGGTGGCCCGGGGAGAGGGAATGATGCACTCCTAGGGCGGCTCTGCCGCCAGGGAAAGGAGGCAGAGGAAGCTGGGGAAGGAGCCAGAACTGTGCCAGGGAAATCTATATATATGCACGTATTTTCATCCAGATTTCAGATACAGACACATGCATGTACACACACTTTTACATATAAAGTGTGTGTGTGTGTGGACGTGTGTGCATATAACATGTTTGTTCCAAGAGAGGTGCAAAGAGCTGAACAAACACAGTAAAAACATTTAGGGATGAGAATAGAAAGTGATTTATGGAATTTGGAATTTTGCAGTTGGAATTTTCTATTAATTTAGTCCAATATATATGGCAAATTAAATTCAAAGTACCTGTATTGCTGAAAGCAGAAGAAAAAAAAAATTACAAAACTCCAAGGTTTAAAGTAACATCCTTCCATCACCCAAAGTAGACAGCAGCATTTACTACATTGTTATCAGATCCCTCCCACACAAACATGTAAACTGGGGACAGTACAATTCTAGTCTGAGACTCTGCACCATAAACAGTGAACTAAAAATGCGAACATTTCTGTATTACATGTAAATAGCTGAGAATGCAGAAGGATGTTCTTCATAAGGAATTTATCTCACTTTTCCCTGATAATCCTGCACTGACACTTCAAGCTGGACTTTCATCACATTCTTGCAAATGACAAAACACCATGTTGACATCATTTGCCACAAGGCCAGATGAAATGTGCAGACAGAGCAGCCTCAGTCTGTACTTACGCAACTAGAGACCTACATGCAAGCTAAAGCTACCCTATAGATATTAATCTGAAAGCTAAATCAAAAAGATGGAAGGCTTTGCTTGACAAAAAAAAGGAAACAAGAGATGTAGTTTTAAATCCAGTGACATTAAAACAGATACCACTTTTGTAAAGTGCAGATTAAGTTCATGCCACGTGGTGCTTTTGGCTAGAACATAAAAGCTAGCAAATATGCTTAAGTCTGCATGGTAGACAGTGAGGGAATTTGCATTTTTCTAATTAAAATTACACTGAATCCCTGAGAGAAATAGCAGGACAAAACAACTGTTGTTAATATTCACAGGCACAGAATAAGGCTATAATTCAGTAAATTTGTGTACATCTTGTTCATCATATTGATTTATTGTCAATAGTCAGATTTTTAATATATTTTGCCTTTTACTTCAGCTGTACAGCATACCAACCTGGTAACAAAATAAGGCAATCTAAAAAAACAAGTGAGCTCTATCTATATATTAAACAGTGCAATTAAAGAGACATAGTAGACACACCTCAAACATTCCTCATTGAAAAGACGTACAAGTACCACTTAACTACTGTTCTGCTGCCATACAAGAGAAACATTTCTTTCCATCCATTCATGCTGATTGTTTGACAGCACATACACTTAGTTTCCTGTTTATATGGGTTTTTTTTTAAAGGACATGGAACATACATTTAAAATATGAAATAAAGACCATAAATTCATGAAAGAATATACAGAACCATACTAAAGGAATTAGGTTATGAAGTATCCAATTTCTGCAAAACAAGGTCCTTTCAGATAAAAAACATCCAGAACACTCAACTGCACATTTCTCATGTGAAATACTATGTCCCTCCAGGAATCAATCACCTTTGCCCTCATTTCAAAATTCACTACGAGGCAGAATTTCAATAGGGATACTGAAGAAAGTGCCACCTATCTACCCAGCAACAACCTTCTGCAAGGCACATACTTTCTTTGGCAGTTATCTAAGGTAGATATCAATTCAGCTGAAGTTTGTTTAGTTTCACTCAAACATCTTACTTTACGTTCTTTAAAAGGGGTTTACCTCCAAGAGCCATGGTTTCAGTTTTCTGTCCAGCAGAATATCAAATCCTAGGACTTCAAAGCAGACACTGTCACTTCCTGGGGCTTGTCCTGGCCTGCACATGCGATAAGCATGAAGAACATGCGGCTCTGCCACTATGAGAGTCTTCACTACTAACTCCTGTGAGCAGTTTTTAGAAAAAAAAATATCAGGAAAGACGATAGCAGAATATATTAAAATAACTCTAATACTTTAACTGAAGGCTCTCCCAAAATCAAATAAATTGTTCATGATAAATATTACATAAAAATACAATAAATTAATCGGATGTATAACAAATAGCTATATTTTATATATAGCTATGTAATATATAGTTATTTTCAGATATAAAATTCACTTTAGGTCATAGAAAAGTCTCTACTAATTTAAACAGAATCTTTCTATAACATTTTGACTTTGTGAATAACTGTTTAAAAGGCCTTTTTTGTCTCATACAGAAATAGTTTAATAACTAGACTCATAATCAAACTCCAAATAGTGATTTACATGTTTAAAAGGATCTATTTTTAGAATCACCATCCTCATCTTTTATACTATGTCCTTCGTGGTATACATTGCTGAGAATTTTAAAGTAATGAAGTTCCAAGAATTTCCCTGGATTTGAAGCAAAGTGGATGGCAGAGGCTATTAATTTTATAAACATATAAACACAATATAAAGAAACATGTAATGGTTTTTATCTTACTGAAATATCATTCCAGAATTTGGAGACATCAAGGTTATTTGTTTCTAGAAACTCAGTAAACCATTTTATGGATCGTTTACTTCCTTTGTCTTCTGTTTCATCCCGTTCAAAATGTTCATTATGCTTATTGACAGAGTAGTTAGTCAGATGCATATACAATTGGCTCTAAAAGCAGGGAGAAAAGATGTTAAAAAAAAAGTTAAACAAAACAAACCTTAAATACACTTCTAACAGTCAATTAAAAAAAAAAAAAACACACCTATGACTGGCTCAAATATGGGGACAGGTTTTGCAACGTATGTGAGCACATACACATTTTAGATCAATAATGAATTAGTCAAACAGTTCCCATTTCTCAAATGCATTATGTGCAGATTTAGGATTTCTGTTTCTTAGAGCTCTAATATACTGAATGCTCTAGCCTTGGTGTAACAAAACCCGTGCTCATACTTGGGCCACTCATAGTTACCGGAACACTGGTTAAGCATTATAATACACCTGTTATTTTTAACAAATTTATTCATCAACAACAACAATGTGAAGAGCAATTACCATAACTTACAAATAGTTACATTCCACAAGAAGTTAACGAAGATCGTACTTTTTAGCGAGCAACTTCAAAAATGTTAAAATACTCTGGTATCTGTTTCACAGAAAATCCCCAATTTCAGTTTGGCCTATAGTTTATGAGAAATGCTCCTATGATAGTGAGACTTTTACATATAAATTTGTCCACCACGTTGCCATCTGACAGAATTGCTCATTTTTGAATGGCCATACATTAGGGGGAGTTAAACATTGCATAAATGAGTTTGTGATACGGCTGCTTTATAGGACAGAATGTAAGCAGCAACTGATTCATATTATCAGCTGAATTTTAACTCATCTTGTGTAAAAATACAGGGCCTTTCCAAGGCCAATATATTTTTAAGTGCACTTATCTTCCAGTGCAAGTTTTAATTCAGCCTTCCACCTACCCTACCACAATGACTCTCCTTATCACAGTGACAGCTATTTGCCATATTTCGCTCCTTGCTTGAGCACTAATTGATGCAACCATGAGCTTTCTGTTCCCAGTCCTCTTTGTAGGATAGCCAATAGGTACGACCAACCTTCTACTGTCATTGATCTCACTGCACTCATGTTTAAAAAAAAGCCTTAATCATATTAACAGAACTGAACAACGTAATTGCAGAGTAGTTAACAATATTTGTATTAACACTACAAGTAATAGAATTTCTTCCATGGCTTCTGATTACTGCTTTGAGAATCATTCTAGAACCTGTTGTTTTTGAGTAGTTATAAATGTCATCTTTCCATGAAATTCAAGTCATCTCAAGCAGAGGTAACTATTTTTTAAACTTTTTTTTTTTTTTTAAGAGGCGTTTTGAAACATTTATTTAAACACCTGAATTCATCTTTAGCCTGAACTTATGTGAAACGAAGCCAGCATGGAAAAGAGTCATCTAACAAATGTCACTGGTGATAATCTGGGTTATTTCCTACTATAGATCAATTACCACATGAACCGTTGCAAAAACACAAAGAAAACTGCCAGGTCTGCTGTCCTGTTTATCCACTCAGAGCACGTTTCCGTGCTGCTAATACTGCTAGAACTAACAATAAAAATATGAATAGCAAACTATTCCAAAAGCAACTCTGATAAACGCATTGAAAAGAAAAAAGCAGCTATATTGTAATTCATATTCATCAATAAGTAAGCGCCAAATGTCTTTATGGCATAATAAATAAGAAAGCATGCAAACAATATCTAAATGCCTGATAACAGTCACATGTGATAATTGCGAGAGGAAATATCACAGGATAAAAAGTTAATGTTCAAATCATTACATCTCCAAATAAGATCCTGTACTCTCCAAGAACTGTGGTTGATTGAAGAGGGGATGCCTGTGGAAAGTCTTAAAGGCTGGAATTGAATATTGTAATTGCAGTTTTGGCTTGTGTTCTTCCCACTCTATCCTATGGTGCAAAGGATCACTTTGGCTTCCAAATGACACCCTCCTCCCTTCAAAGAGCACTAAGATGGACACAGTTTTAAATAATAAGGAGGCAAAACATCTCTCCTCGCATTGCCTATTGTTTAGTTCATGCTGAAGCAGCTCTGTAAGTATATGGGTCTGTAAAAAAAGGATATAGTAGTAACGGAGTACAAGAGTGAGGTATGGGAAACTCTAATCTACTGGTGTCTGCAAGCTTCACATTCACTTTTGCTTTAATAGGCATTCTTGTTTGGTCTTGGTCCAGAACGAGAGAGATTACACTTTTCAGCCCAAGAAAAATAAGAGGATGCTGTGCAGTGAATGGAAGGACTAAAGCAGGCAAAAACATTAACATGACTCCCCATTTGATTATTCTCTGCAAGTCCACAGACAGTCTGCTACATAATGCTGAACTTTTCAATGGTTGGTGTACACTAAATAGAAACTAATCATTCCATACTCCTTTCCGCACTGAAACAGTCACTGACAAACATCATGTACAGCAACTCCCCCACTTCTCAGGATTGTGGTGAGCACTCATGGACTAGGTCTTGTAGCTGTTTTTCTGCTTTCTGCATAGGCTTCCAACGCAGTGGCTGATACATTGCAAACTCCTCAGCAGAAGCCCTAAACTTTATGGGTGACAAATAACCACCTTGCAGAAGAAAAGCTTTTTTCTCTTTCTACAAAAAAATACCCCTGAATCTTAAGCAAATATAAAAACAATAAAATTGTTCTTGAAGCAATTTTTCCTTTTATTTTGTTCTGGTTATGAATATTAAAAGCAAGCAAAATACATCCTTTTTTATGGAATATTTAAACTCCAGCACACATACATAAGTCTTAAAATTTGACTACGTAAGTAATAAGGCTATAACTGCAATTGACAGGAAAAAGAAATGAGTGGAATATCTTTCATTTTCATTTTTGTCTCTTCAGTAACAATGCAAAAGTGCTACCATAAAAATATCATATTAAATCTCACGTCACATACTTATTTTTCCTCCTCCAAACCTCCTCCAAACTCTAGTAAAATTCTACACATGCAAGTGATAAATCGGCAGGAACGTCAACTTACCAAATTTGAATCACTGGGTGGATGATACTTCTCTGTGCCCATTCTCACCAGTCCATCATGATATAAAAATATTTTTAATGGATCACAGGAGGTTACAAGAATGTATATGCGTAAATCAAACTTGTAGCCTTCCATAAGAAAGGGTTTGTCAAGATACTCCTGGACAATCAAGTGATCTTGGGCCTGTAATTTTTCTCCATTTCTTACTAAAGAGATTCTGGTTAAAAACAAAAGTTAAATTTAAAAAAATACATGCGACATTGACACAACATTTTGAAATACATATTCATGGTCACACAGCTATGTGAGCAAAAGTCTAAGTCAAGAAAGAGACACATATCTGATTTGAAGGGCTGAAAGGATTGACATTCACTCAAGTGGCTTTTACTTTTCTACCCTTCATAATACTTCACTGATGAGAAAAAGGCAACAAGCCCTTTCAAAATAACTTTCTACTTCCCCTGATTCAACAGTCTGTAATAGCACATTCCTTCTGTGGTCAGGAATTGCTTGGCAGGATGACCACTCTCTAGCTTCTGACATTCTTCCCCAGCAGCTCTAAAAATAGGCTCCCATCCTTTGCCATAACGTCTGTCTGAGGTACAGATTTCCAAGAATTTTAGGGGTAACCTGAGAGAGCGACCTGGCATTTGCAGGACAAGACACCACCTGGCATGACTGTGAATGGGAGGAAATTTCTGCATTCCGATTTGTCCACATCGGAAGGAAAAAAAAAAAAAAACAGTAAGTTATAGACACACAGCTCTACATTACAGAGGTTTTCAAATAACTTAATAGCTATTATTTTTCAGTGTATCAATATTAACTTTAACATTGAATTACTATACCTTTTTCATCTAATTTCTACCCTTCCTTTTACTATGATACATTTTAATGTTCTGGTGCTAAATACTTCTTGTATCCTGGAGTACTTTCCAGGCATTTCTCTGAAATACACTACCATCTTTAGCTTGTGAGGAGGGAAACTGAAATATACTTTTTTTCTGTTTTTCCCTGTGTATCTCTGTCTCAGACAATCTCAGCTTGGCCAAGACCATTTCCTGCTCCGGCATGGGTCACCTTCCAAAAGTGCAACTCCGGGCACGTCCCCAACAGCACCTCCCTGTCATTTACCTCTCTTCTCTCCACTTCATGGTCCTTGCTTTCTCTCTTTTAAGTGTCTTCTGACTGCCTGCAGTTTTGCCATGCAATGGCACATTGGGGTTGGTTTCCAAGCTGTGTGGAACCAGCACAAAACAGTTCCTGGCCTCCTTCCCATGCAGGGCACCCCACAGTTCCCAGCTACCAAAACCCTAACCTTTAGGGCCAAGCAATCGCACCTTTTAAGTCTAAGCACAATAGATTGATAAATACATAGTTCTGAAATAAAATTAATCCTGATCTTAAGAGTGACTTCAGTCTTATAAGAAGAGAAAGAATGTGGCATCCTCTAATTATGCCACATTCAGAACATGAAATAACATTTGCATCTAGCTTTGTTTCAAGTGTGCTAGTTGGTATGCATTTGTCCAATACATAAACTTCCTTATATTGCTCTTAGATAAAATTCACACCAATACATTGCTCCAGACAATGTTGTAAATAGCACTAGAAAAGGGGAAGGGAGAAGCTCGTTTGATCTCAACATCTACAATTATTTATTTATTTATTTACTTATTTATTTACCTTTGGAGGTTTATAAAATTTCAGCTTTTGGAGGCAGGATGACTGAAGCTAACAGGCAACTTACCCATGTCCCATTGCACCATTAGCTGGTTTGACTATGAAAGTTTTCTGTCTACGTTTCTTCTTCAGTTCTTTTACATAGTTCTGAAACTGTGTATACTCTGCAGGGAAGATCCATGTTCGGGGAATGAAAGTATACTCCTGAGGCTGACACTTGATCATTCTGCATAAAAGTGTAATAGAGTTGAAATATTTTAATTCCTTTCGTGCATTAATGCTAAGGATTAAATAGCACTTACAAAATCTGATAAGGAGATTTCACCATAAAAGTAACAGGAAAACAATGATCTATGGTCAGTTAATAATATTTGATTCTTCATGATGTTCTCATATGCCTATTTTTAAGAACAACAAAAGCTGACTAATGCATTATTGCTTATTACCACATCTTATTATCTTATTATCTTATCAGCATCGAGTCTGTTGCAACTTCTGTTCAGATCATCACACGATTTAATGATATTCCTATGCTTAGGTGTAGGAAACTTATAATAGACCATGTGATTGTAAATATTTCCCTTCCTGACAGACACGCCTGTTCTTGCATTTTTTAGTAGTATTTTGGCATGTGTATTTATTTTCATATAGGTAGAGATTTAGGGGGCTGTGCAGTTTTTTGGACAAATCCTCAATAGGGCTGGAGCGATAATATAATATCAAAAATATGAAGAAAGGAAGAAGTGTAACACTTCCTGGGTGGAACTGAAGAGGAAAGGAGGAAGCAAATTGTGTTCTAGAGCACAAAACAAATCTTATGATGCTTAATATATTATGTATTACTTAGGGGGAAAAAAATAAATAAATAAATAAATCAACAACAACACCACCACATTCCTTTTGGGTCCGGAAGACCCAAAAGCCAAATTAAAGTTTCTGGCAAGCAAAGATTAAGTGTAAATGCGGACCAACTTTTTAAAAAAATAACAATAAAAATTTAAAAATAAAAATGGACCTGTGAATTTCATGGATATGAAAAATATTAACAAGGACAGAACTTAAAAGAAAGTGGTAGTAATTCAATAAGGGTGATTTGTTTTTTTCTGGACTTCAAAGACATTTCCAAAGCAAAGAAACGTAGAAAATTGACCCGGGTAAACAGAGTTAGTACCAAGTAACCTTGGGTAATTTGATACTATTTTAACATCAAGTGTGGACACATCTAAAATACAAATTTCCACAAATGAACAAAAGGTGAATGAAAGTTGAATAAAGTCACCTGATATTTTGCCATGACCCTACCCAATACTTTTCATGCAGCAAGATGCCACTTTTTCTTTAAACAGCTCGGATGATGCCAGAAATTACAGAACTGCCAACCACATCTGTAAGAGCTGGACTGTGGCCAAGGCCAGTGGTGTAACAGATACCCTGGCACCAGACTGCCTAGCCAGCTACCCAACAAACCCTCTGCCATGAACAGCAACAGCTCCAGGAGCTTTGAAGCACCACGTGACATTCAGGGCTTCTACAGCCTCATGGTAACTGTCATATTTAAAGATCTGGTTTGATACAAGCCATCACATATTCAGAGAGTCAAGAAAACAGACAGACATTATGATTCATCATTTACTCATACCACTCTCTACCCACTAAAGTGTTATTAATTTGCTAATTGAATAGTGTATTTAGCCAGAACTTACCCCATTTTAATTCAGCAAGGGATTTTTGTGTTAGTTTCCTATTTCTATCCAAATTACTTACATATATATCCTGAAGTGTGTGTTACATAACAAATTTAAACTCATTTACAGACTTCAATACTTATACTCCCCACTCAGTGAATATAATTCCAGGGTATTATAGACATATTAATGTTAAAGCTGTGAATACATCAATATTATATGGCTTTTTTAATCTTACGCATAATTGAATAAACTATGAACACTTAATATAGTGAAGCTGAATACTTGTTATTGCTTATCAGTTATGGTGCTCACTA